ACTCTTCCCCCTTGGTTTCATTAGCCTACAGTCGTGTCTGGCTGACTGCTACCCCAGGCCAAACACCTCCACACACACACACACAAACACACGCCGGTTCAAAACAGCCCACATCATCCATTTGCTTCTCACAGTATTTTCCTTTTAGAGGTCCTCTAGGGATAATTTTGGGGAAGGGAGCCAGCAGTCATGCTAGTTCTGCATCTCAGCAGGAACAGGAATAGACCACTTGGCAGCTCTGAAGAATTCAAACTTCAAAAAGAGTTTCTTACTTTGTTTTAACACCCAGTAGAAAGTGTTGCACCACTAAAAAAGACACTGATTTAAGAGGCATGGAAGTTCAGAGCAGGACAAATGGCATTTGACTGCAAGGCAGAAGAGGAATGAGAGGGAAGAGAGATATGAGTGGGAGGATTTTAAAATGGGAGAACAGAGGAAAGAATGGGAAGGAAGACACCACAAGTAAAGGCATTATTCAAGGACGTAAGTAACAAACGAAATCAGCGGTTGGGCTTTGAACCCAAAGCAAGATCTTGTCCCTTTTCCACTTGGAATCTCTTTTGAGCAGCAAGGTTAGGTACCGTTACTCACTCCTTAAGGAGAAAACTGAGAGGGGCTGGCCCTGTGGCCGAGTGGTTAAGTTCGCGCGCTCCGCTGCAGGCGGCCCAGTGTTTCACTGGTTCGAATCCTGGGTGCAGACATGGCACTGCTCATCAGACCACGCTGAGGCAGCGTCCCACATGCCACAACTAGAAGGACCCACACACAACGAAGAATATACAACTGTGTACTGGGGGGCTTTGGGGAGACAAAGGAAAAAATAAAACCTTTGGAAAAAAAAAGAAAATTCTCTCAAAAAAAAAAAAGGAGAAAACTGAGGCTTAAAGAAGTCAAATACCTTGCCCAAGTCTAAAGCTTATCCTTTTCCACTACACCATGCTGCCAGTTAGTACTTATATTCAGTTGCTCAAACCAGAAAGTTAGGAGTCATCTTGATCTCTCCTTCTTCCCCCATTATCAAATCATCAAACCTTGTAGAGTTCAACTCCTAAGTCTTTCAAAACCACCCTTTCTCTTCATCTTCATGACCACTTCCCCATACCAAAAAGTGTTACTTCTTGCCTACTTACTACCATCACCACAATAGTCTTTTTTTCTTTTTTAAGATTGGCACCTGAGCTAACATCCGTTGCCAATCTTTTTTTTTTCTTCTCCCCAAAGCCCCCCAGTACATAGTTGTAGGTCTCTCTGGTTGTGCTATGTGGGACGCCACCTCAGCATGGCTTGATGAGCAGTGCAATGTCCGTGCCCAGGATCCGAACCAGCAAAACCCCCAGCCGCAGAATCGGAGCGCACAAACTTAACCACCTGGCCCCGGGGCCGCCCCTGCAATAGAGTCTTAACTGTCTCTCTAACCCACTTCAATCCAAACTCCAAACTCCAGCCAGAAGGACTAAAAATACAATAAAACAAAAAAAAACAATCCTACTGTGCCAGGCCCTGCTCCATAGTTTGCTACTGCTCTAAAGACAAACAGAGTCAACCCCTCAGCACTTCGCCATCCTTTCCACTTGCACTGCTCTTCCCCGTGTTCCCTACACCTCAGCCACACTCATCTTTTAGTTTCTCAGAGCCTTTGCTTCCTGCTTCAGGGCCTTTGCACATATTGTTCCTTCATTTGGGGCACTGTGAGTTCTGTACAAGACTGATGCATCCTATGCCTTCCAGTTTCAAGTTAGATGTCACCTCAACAATCATTAACAGATACTAACCCATTTAAGTGAAAGGTTGGGGGAGGCGGGGCTTTAAACGCCTGCAGCTAACTTACAGCACTCGACCCACTGACCAAACTTCTCTCTAAAACAGGGTCATTCATACATCACGTACTTCCTGATGCGAAGCAATAGGAAACGCCCAGTTCCTCCTATGAAGTATTCTTGACCAAAAAAAAATCCAAATCTAATCGAGCTTCTAGACCTAACTACCAACAACCTGTTTTCAGGAAAAATGGACGGTAGAGGAATAAGCAAACAAAACTAAAAGCAGGCAGCTAGCCCAATCTAGAATATAAGAAATTCTACGGGACCTCAGGTCAGGGGCAGGGCTGAAGTGCGGAGACTGTTACAGACTCAAAAAACATGAACCGAACACATCCTGTGGACCTTGTTCAAGTCCCCATTCAAACAAGTCATCCGTAAAACGTCATTTTTTCCTAAACAATCAGGAAATTTTGAATTCTGTACCAAGTAATAGATACTATTAAGAAACTGTTAATGGTAATAGAAAGTCACTGTGGTAATAATTTTTTTAAAATTCTGACAAGAGATACATCCTGACGTATTTAAAGGTAAAATGACACATCTATGATATACTTTAAAATATTTCATTAAAAAGGTGGGAAAAATAAAAAAATATATATTGAATTAAAACAAGAGATTTTAATTACCTTATTGAATGGTACACACCAAATGTGGAAGAAATCACAAAAATTCTGTGTTTATCTACCGTATCTTTTTTTTTAAAGATTTTATTTTTTTTCCTTTTTCTCCCCAAAGCCCCCTGGTACATAGTTGCATATTCTTTGTCGTGGGTCCTTCTAGTTGTGACATGTGGGACGCTGCCTCAGCGTGGTTTGATGATCAGTGCCATGTCTGCGCCCAGGATTCGAACCAACGAAACACTGGACAGCCTGCAGCGGAGCGCGAGAACTTAACCACTCAGCCACGGGGCCAGCCCCTATCTACCGTATCTTGAGAAAACTAGTACTTGTGAAAAATATTCCAGTTACATTAAGAGAGTCAGTATCACTGACCTGTGCTGCTGTGGCTCTCTGGAGATGCGTTTCCTTCTAGCTCACAACAAACCCTAGGGATGAGTATAGACAGCGGAAAAGAATTTGCCTGCTTTTAAATGAATGAGGGAAGAAAGACCTTTTTGCAGTTTTCTTTGCTTGCTTTCAAAAGGATGCTCCCTCAAGAGAGATGCATTTATTGAAAGAGAAGCCAATTCCACCACCTCATTCCAAAATAGAGCAGAACCAGGAACATCCCAGGGCAGGCCGAAACACCCTGGTTTTTCAGGCCATTTGAAGAACAAAGGACTAGCCTAGATGGTCCGTAGAGCTGACTCAGTAGGCACTCCCATGTCCAGAAACTCATCCCTCACTGGGTATGTGTGCTTAAGTGGCCTCCAGCTTACTCTCCATTCCATCTTGGCCCTCTTCTCCAGTCTCCACTTCCACCACTCAACACCCACCAGGACAAATGTGAACTCAGTTTCTTGAATTTGTCCAGCCCTTTACCACTCACCTCTCAAGTTCTTAGCACCGAGTTTTTCAAACTACAAGTTGGACTCCAGTTGTCTCAACTCCTCCCCTCCATTAATGAAAGAGAACAGAAAAGAAAACCAAAGCGAATAACAAAGGTAAGTTTTCTTCTGTGGAACCTGTTTGTTCTTGATAATAACGAACACTTAAGCACCTTTGTGTCAGGTACTCTTTAAAGCACTTTATATACAATAACTCTTTAATCCTTACAGAGATCCTATGAGGTGGATACAGTATTGTCCTCACTTTCAGAAGAGGGAGCTAGGGCAGAGAGGAAGGTGACTTGCCCAAGATCATGGTCGTAGAGTCCATGTCCTCTGGCTGCAGAGCCAAAGCTCTTAGCCACGACCCCTCCTATTGTGCTGGGTCCCAACATAAATTTTTTTTTACTGGGGGTCATAGTTAAAAAAGTTTGAAAGCCACTGCCTTAGTACCTGTCCTTTCTCCTCTTCTATGCTCTACTTCCTATTTTTGAAAGTTCTTACTCATTCTTCTACCTAGGTCAAAAGTCACCTCCTTGGTCAAGGCTTTTCTGACTCCCCAAGGGAAGCTAATGATACCAGAGCACCTCTACTCAAACACTTACCTAATTGCTTGTGTTTTGTGTGTCCCCTACTGGACTGAAATCATAGAGCAGGAACAGTCTGATTCACTCAGCAATGATGGGAGAGCGGCTCTCATCCCACACAGTCCAAGAGACTCCTACACCTCATCCTCAAATCTCTGCTTTTGAAGATAACTGCGACTTTAAGACTAATTAAAATAACTTCCTGGGGGCTGGCCCCGTGGCCGGGTGGTTAAGCTCGCTGGCTCCGCTGCAGGCGGCCCAGTGTTTAGTCAGTTCGAATCCTGGGCGGGCACACGCCACTGCTCATCAGGCCACGCTGAGGTGGCACCCCACATGCCACAACTAGAAGGACCCACAACTAAGAATATACAACTATGTACCAGGGGGCTTTGGGGAGAAAAAGGAAAAAATAAAAAATCTTTAAAAAAATAAATAAATAAATAAATAATAAAATAAAATAAAATAAAGTAACTTCCTGTCCTAAGTTGGAACTAATCATTCTTATCAATTCTTTAAGCCCTAAGGACCTCTATTAAACACCGTTGTCTGATTCTCTCTCTACTAGATACATGGGATTAATAAAAACAACTTTTTCCTTGTAAAAAAGAAATTATTGTTCAGACGTCACCCAGGTCTTGCCAGGCCTGCCACACACCTACAAGGTTAAGTGTGTAGCACGAGTGCACTCCAGCACAGTTTGCAAACAAACAAGCCAGGAAACACCCTGAAAATCCATCACTGCCGAACTGGTTAAAGAACTTGTTCAACCCTCCAGGGCAGTACTACGCAAATCCTTAAAACTGTTACAGGTATACTTTAGGAAAGTTGTCCCTAATATTACTGTAAAAACGTACAGCGCAGAACAATACACACAAAATGACCCCACTGCTGCTTAAGGATGTGCTCCTGTGTAGAAAAAGTCAGGAAGGACAAAGGTCAAGCCGCTAGCAGCAGCTGGCCCGAGGAGGGGCGCTCAGGGATGCCGACACTTCTGCATTGCGTGCATTCTTAACAGGCACACACGATTTTGCTTTTTTTTAAAGCTGTGATCCTGACCAGTACTGTGAAACGAAATAACGTGAAATGAATACTTTTACACTAAGTCACCTTCTCCTCCGACGGCTGTACGAGGGAGGGGGCTAACGCTGAACTCAGCCGCAGCCCCTCCGCCTCCTCCCGCCGCCGACACGGCGGGCAGCGGCGGCTCCGGGCGCGGGCCCTCCACGAGGCTCGAGCAGCGCTCTGCGGCCCGAGCTCCAGGGGCGCCGGGGCCAGCGGGAGCCGCGCGGGCCACACGCACGGCCCAGCCCCGGGCGGCGGCCCCAACCCGCGCCTCCGCGGCGCACGGCGGCCTGGGAAGCCCCTCCCCTCGGACCGGGAGCCACCCCGGCTCCTCCTCCCGCCTCGCCCGCCGCCCGCCCTCCAACGCCGGTCCGCCGCGCCTCGTCAGCCCGACCCCCGACCCCAGCTCTGCGCCCGCGGCCCCGCCGCGCCGCCTCCACGAGCCCCAGGCCCGCCCGACGAGCCTCCCCGCCCCGGCCCCGGCCCCGGCCCCGGTCCCAGCCCCGCGACGACACCCAGGAGCCACACCTCGCGGCCACCGCGTCCGTCGCTCCCCCGCCGGGCGGGGGGAGGGGGCGTCAGGCACAGGCCCTAAGGCCGCGGCAGCATCTTGAAACGGCGAGCAGTGAGGACGCAACTTCCGGCCTCCAACCGCCGCGCTCGGGGCTTCCGGCGAGGCCTCCGGAAACCATAGATGGCCCGCTGGCGGGCTAGAGAGCCGCGGAGGCCGCGCGCCCCTGGCGGTCGAGGCGAGCACGGTGGCGGAGGGCGCCGGGGGGCTGGGGCGGCTGAGAGTCGGGAGGGCTGTGGGAAAAGCCTTTGGGGGTCTTGAGGAGTCTTGTGGTATTTACAGACGTGCCCTGGGAGGTGAGGGAACAGGGAGGGGAGAAGCCTGACGGCGTGATCAGAGGCCGCCTTCAGCCCCTCGGAAGAGCGGCGCTGACTCGCTCTCAGCGCAGCGGCGGCTGCGGGGGGCCGCGTGCTGGCGTCGTCGCCGCTGGCGGAGATGCGACGGGTGTGTGCGCGAGTCGCTGCGAGCGGCGCGGCGGGCGGTGAGGGGTGCGCGGACCCCGAGATGAGCCGATTGGGATGACGCGACCAGGCCGTGTCTAATCTCCCCGCGTCTGACAGCGCCCTGCACGAGCCTCCCGGGCAGGCCGTCTTCCACCGCCGCCCGTGCCAAAGGGCATTACCTCCCCAAGCAACTCATTTCGTTTATTTCGGGATGATTCTAAACGTCAGAGGATTTTCTGACCTGGAATCCGTTCCTTTGCAGTGTCTGTCGGTTTCAGTTCTGCCCTTCGGAGAGGAGCAAGGCTTCCTTCTTTACGATGTGGATACTCTGCAGTGATTGGAGACAGCCATGCCCCATCCCTAACCCGCTCCTCTGTTTTCTTTATGCTAAAAACCCCCTCACGGCCTTCAACCATCCCTTGTTCGACGTGGACTCCAGCCCGCCCTGGTCGCCATCCTCCGAACAAATACGTGCTTGTCCTGTTTGAAGTGTGGCTCCCAGGGCTCGATACAGACCCACGCGAAACAAAGTGGGGCTGTGACGTCCCTTAATTTGCTCATTGCACCGTGTTCTATTTCTGACATAACCTCCCACGGAGTTGGGAGAGCCGCAGTTATGTAAGTGAACTAAAGAATTAATTCCGTTTTCACAGTTGCTCCCAGGGAGCTTGAAGTCAGCGACCTCTCCTCTCAAAAAAAGTAGAGGCAAGAGGCTTTTTTAGCTGCAGTACTGTCAACTATTTCTCCTCCCTTTCTGTGTGATTAGTTTTATTTTATTTTTTTTTAATTCCCAAGCAGGAATTTGTTTGTATCTTTTAAGTAGTATCTGGTTAGTTTAGTTTCCTTCCTGCTCTCCTGGACTCTGGACTACTGTCATGCAGTTCAGTTTGTTTAAGATCAACATTTACTTGTTGAGCGCCTACTGTGTGGCAAGCACCAACCTAGAGAATTCCAAAACAGGTGAGCCCGGTAATCTGTCTAGAGGAGGAGGCAGGCTGTCCGCGAGGAGACTGCAGCTAGCCTTGCCAGGAGGGTCAGCAGAGATTAGCACTTGCAGTTTTGCATTTTGCAAAATTTTGATCAACATATTTAATTTGTCTTCACTTAAAGTCTTGATAAATATGTTGAATAGGACGTTGTTAAGAATAGAGCTTTTCTCTCGTGGTTGACACTGATTCATGATTAATCATCCAGTGTTGTTCTTAAGCTACCGTGACCCCACCTAATAGCAGGCGACGTCTGGCAGCATTTCTTTGTCCTTTCCCAAGTTCATAAAGCTTCATCAAATGACTTACTATAATGAAAATAAATCATAACTATAGTATTTCTTCTACTGGTCAAGTACTCTTACCAAAAAAGAAAGTGAAATTGTCTTAAGTTCTTGACTGACTCAGTAATCACCACTTCCTTCTCTAAGAACTAGACTCACAAACCATTTATTCAATAAAGAGACAGGAAATCTGGGTGTAGTCTAGCTGTTTCTAGAAACCAGAAAGCTACACAGTTCTTCACTTTGCCAATCTGTAAAACAAAATGGCTGAATCAGATGATTTCTCTAAGGTCCCTGGTAGCTCTAAAGCAATGAGAAGTCAATGTTAGTAGTCTATAGCCTTTCTTAAAAATTACAGTGACCTACTTCAGACATACAGAAAGGTATAAAGAAGAATGTGGTCTCCTTTTCCCCACCTCTCTTCCTACAGAACAACGCTCACACAGAGCACTTCCTTGTAGTCCCCTCTCCAGCACCTCCTCCTCCAACTCCAGAACGGCCCACTCTCCAGAGTTTGCCCTTGCCCTGCATGTCTTTAGCTGTTCAGGATTTATGTGTGCATATATTCCTTAAAAATATTTTATGGTTTTAAAATTTTTATAAATGGCATGAAACTATGTATTCCACTGCAATTTGCATTTTTGTTCATCATTGTGAAATTCAACAGTGTTAAATCGTGTAGTTATAGTTAATTTTCATTATTGTATAATAATATTGTATAGTAATATACTCCATTGTACATTTGTCTAATAAATTGCTGCATAGTAATTGTGTTAGCTTTTAGGGCTGCCATAACAAAATACCATACATGGGGTGACATAGACACAAATTTATTTCTCACAGTTCTGGAGGCTGGAAGTCCAAGATCAAGGTGTCAGCAGGATGGGTTCTTCTTTTTTTCCTTTTTTTTTTAAAGATTTTGTTTTTTAATTTTTTCCTTTTTCTCCTCAAAGCCCCCCCCCCCCCCCCCCCGGTACATAGCTGTATATTCTTAGTTGTGTTGTGGGTCCTTCTAGTCGTGGCATGTAGGATGCCGCCTCAGCGTGGCTCCATGAGCAATGCCATGTCTGCGCCCAGGATTCAAACCAACGAAACACTGGCCCGCCTGCAGCGGAGCACGTGAACTTAACCACTCGGCCACGGGGCCGGTCCCTGGGTGGGTTCTTCTGAGGCCTCTCTCCTTGGCTTGCGGATGGCCACCTTCTTGCTGTGTCCTCACGTGTTTGCCCCTCGGTCTGTGTGAGTTGTCTGTGTCCTAATCTCCTCTTATAAGGACACCAGTCATATTGGATTAGGGCCCACCTATATGACCTCACTTTACCTTAATCACCTCTGTAAAGGGCCTGTCTCCAAATAGAGTCACATTCTGAGGTACTGGGGGTTAGGACTTCAACCTACGAATTTGGGGGGGGACATGATTCAGCCCATAACAGTAATGAATGCACTATAGTTTTTTTATTCATCCTTTGATAAATATTTAGGTGTTTCCAATTGTTTACTGTTACAAAACAGTCTTGTACTTACTTGTCCCCGTGTGTAGTTTAGGAGTAAAATTATTGGGTCATGCACACATTGTCAACTCTTTTAGACCAGGACAAAGTGCTCTCCAAAGTGATGTGGAAGTCTAAACTCCTGGTAAGGAGTGTGTAAGAATTCTCTTGCCCAGGGGCTGGCCCTGTGGCCGAGTGGTTAAGTTCGCGCACTCCGTAGCAGGCGGCCCAGTGTTTCGTTGGTTTGAATCCTGGGCGCGGACATGGCACTGCTCGTCAGACCACGCTGAGGCAGCGTCCCACATGCCACAACTAGAAGAACCCACAATGAAGAATACACAACTATGTACCGGGGGGCTTTGGGGAGAAAAAGGAAAAAATAAAATCTTTAAAAAAAAAAAAAAAAAAAGAATTCTCTTGCCCAACGTCTCTGCCAATCCTTGGTATTGTCAGGTTATTAACAAAACAATCTGATAGATGTGAAATCATTTCTCATGGTAGTTTGCTTTATATGTCCATGATTATTAGTAAGGTTGAACATTTTTTCATATTTGTTGACTGTGGTTACTCATCTATGCATTGCCTGCTCATATCTTTCACCCATTTTTCTATTTGTCTTTTTCTTGTTGATTTGTAGTTCTCTATGTAATCTGGGTCTTACTCATTCTTGATTATATGTATTACAAATAACATCTTCAAATCATTTTTACTCTTTGAAATGTTTTCACTCTTTGAATGTTTTCACTTTTGAATGTTGTTTTTTGATGAACAGAGGTTTTTTCAATGAAGTCAAATTTATTATTTTCCTTTATGATTCACTTCTTTTTTATATATATATTATTTAAGAGAGTGTCGTCTTTGGGTCGTAAAGATACTTTCGTATATTTTCTTCTAAAACTTCTGAAGGTTTGCTTTTCACGTTTAGGCCTTTAACTTATTTGGAATTGACTGTTGTGCATGTTGTAACATAGAGATCCAATTTTATTTTTTCAATTTGAATAATAAATGTATGGCTCTGTTACTGAATCTGTAAACTGAATGTGAGTCTATAGTCTCTTAAATTAGTCTTTCCTTCCCATTTAACATAATGATTAAAGGTTTTGTAGAAGAGGTATCATTTGAGGGGGGCCTTGCAAAGTGAATAAGATTTCAAGAGGCAGAGTTGGGAGAAGTCATTTGAAGAAACATGGCATAAATAGTGAGGGGAAGAGAGGGATGAAGAATTAGAAGGCACAGTCTGAATACTGAGAAGAATCCACTTTGAGTGAAGTATTGGTTACTGTGCAGAAGATTGGCATTGTGCTGAATCATACTGTCCAGTACAATAGCCACCAGCCGCATGTGCTTTGAAATGTGGCTAGTCCAAGTTGAGATGTGCTATAAGTAAAATACACATTAGATTTCAAAGACTTAGTAGGAAAATAACAATGTAAAATATTAATAATATTTTATAGTGATTACATATCAAAATTATAATATTTTAGATGGATTGAATACAATATATTAAAAATTAATTTCATATGTTTCTCTTTACTTTTTTTAATGTGGCTACTAGGAAAATTTAAATTACGTACGTGGTTTGCATTATATTTCTACTAAATGTCACTGGTATGGAATGCTAACAAAATAGGTTGGGGCCAGATTGTGGAGGATTTTGAATGCTGCTATGAAAAGTTCCATGTGTTATTCAACAGTAGGGAAGAGTCAAAGGGTTTTGAGCAACGACAAGGCAGTCTAACGCTTATGTGATGACTCGGCACCCCATCTGCACACAGCCAAATTTAGAAACCATTCTCCACCAGCTACGGCTGGATGATGAGCTCTGGTGCTGTGACTCTTCCAGAGAATACTTAACATGGTAATCCTTGTTGTAACATGAATGTTGTAACAATGTAACATGAATGAAACAGATCTAATGTGTGCTCTTTTGAGTGGGCAAGTGGAACATTAATGAGCCAAGCTTTTAAAAGTTCTCCATTATTTAAGGGATAAAGTTATTCTTTTTGTCCGGAATTAACCCACTGTTGTCAGCTTTCAAAGGTCTCTTACATCCCCCTCCACTCCAGTCAAATACGTTAACCCTTATAGACAGCATGGCAACTATAGTTAACAATACTGTATTGCATGTTTGAAAGCTGCTAAGAGAGTAAATCTTGAAAGTTCTCATCACAAGAAAAAAAAGTTTTTTGCAACTATATATGGTGATGGATGTTAATTAGACATTGTGGTGATCATTTTGCAATGTATGCAAATATTGAATCATTATGCTGTGTACCTGAAACTAGTATAATGTTATATGTCAATTATATCTCAATTTTTTTAAATTATTTAAGAAATATGTTAAGCGTTTGCTGAAGGGTGGATAGAGTCCGAGAATGATAGAAAGAGCAGCATCCATAGAGTCTGTTCTTGTTACATGTTTGCCAGTAAGTCTTTATGTGACTTCATGAATGCTCATTAGTATCAGACACTGTTCTAAACAATTTATATAAACTATCTTATTTGATTCTCACAATCATGCTATTGTCCTGAGACACAGAGAGGTAACTTGCTCAAGATCACACAGTGGTAGGAAGGGTTCAAATAGGGGCACCTAATTTCAGAACCCAAGTTTTGTGTAAAAGCATTCATCCTTTCAGTTTTTCAATGTATGTATATGCATTCTTTAAAAAAAAATTGATTTGAAATATTTCCTAACAACACTTTACAATTTTTCCCAAGTTGTATTCTTCTATAACATGATTATTAATGGCTGCATAACACTCCATAATAAGGCTGTACCATAATTTATGTAGCCATTTATGTCATTTCCAATTTTTTCCAATTAAAATGCGGGCAATCTCTCCTATAATCAGGTCCTTCTGTACAAACCTGATTATTTCTTTAGGACAAGTTCCTGAAAGTGGAATTGCTGGACCAGAGCAATCACCCCTAAAGCAATTGGAATTAAGCAGATGGAATTAAGGGAAAGCAACATCAGCTAACAAAAACCCTTTAATGCCCCACTCAAAGCCCCACTGTGGGTAATTCTCAAAGCCAGTCCCATAGCAGAGGGCAGTGCTCAAATTACTGATAGCTGTGGAAGAGCCTCTAACGCTAAGATCTCCAAGATCGCTCTGCTAGCGTGTTCTGCTTTCCTGTCTCTCTGGCTAAGAGGGCTTCTGCCCCCAAGTTCACTGCTCATAACCTCCTCCAGGGTTTGCATCACTTAAAATTACCTGGACGCCTTCAAGGGACCTGCAGGACGATCTCACTCTCTGCAGGAGCCTTTCTCCCACTTTATACTACACAGTTCAACCAATAGCTTCAGAACAGCGTATTCGTAGTCTTTCTTAAAAAGACTCGTTTTTGTTTCTGTTTTTTTACTGTTGTCGGGTAGGTTTTCGAACTAATATCCACCCTATTATTGATAGTATAATACACCTGATGTCACCACAGAGCTTCAAAACTGATATACCTGCCCATTGTCTTAATCCTGGACCTATTAGATTACGAATCAAAGAAGCCTACCTAATAATGGTTATTGGGCACGTAAATATCTAGCAATTCTGAATTAGCTAGTAATGCTGTTGAAACGTGCATGATTTAGGTCTTCTGGTTTTATTCGGTGCATAAATCCCAAGCTTTCTTGGGTTTAAAACAATTTCAAGAAGTGCTGGTAGAAGGAAGCGATTACACAAAGTTCCTCATTCTTATGTAAGGGATTGTAACAAAGCACTTCTGTTGTGTGAGCCCGGATAGCTCAGTCGGTAGAGCATCAGACTTTTAATCTGAGGGTCCAGGGTTCAAGTCCCTGTTCGGGCGATGCCTTTTCTTTTCTTTTTTCCCCCCAGTTATTAGCAATTTGAAAAAACAAATTCTTTCCTCTGGGAAACCACCACTCAAGACATCTACACTGCCGAGAAATTCACTGATATTGAATACTCACTTTTTTTCCTTCCCCGAGAACATGGTTATCTAGCATATTCTGAAATGGATGAAAAAGGAAACGACCTCGATCTAGTATCCATATATATTTGAACACTGGGATTTTTATCTGATAAACTTAGTAAGGCAAAAGCCACATTCGCCCGAACAGGGACTTGAACCCTGGACCCTCAGATTAAAAGTCTGATGCTCTACCGACTGAGCTATCCGGGCTCCTTTGGCAAGGCCTCCTCTTTCTCTTTACTTGATATAATTCTAATAAATTACCTCTCTAGTAACTTAAATCTAGATCTTAATTAGATTTAAAGTATTTTTTTCTGTAAGATAAAGAAAAACAAACGTTCATTTTTCTCTCCATTTACTTAAGACGTGTTCAAGTTTTCATATTTCATGTCTGATAAATTGCTAGTAGATATTGGCTAAACCCTCTAAAACTGGTTGGTAGTAAATTACAGAAAAATGGGCAACCAATATGAATATTAAAAATTCAGACATAGAGTTGCAACCTCTTTTTATTACAATTCTTCTGTCTTCCATCTATCACTTCCCTGATAGAACCTCTTAATTTGTCATTCTACTGAACCAGATTACAGTATCTTCCCCTTTAATGAAAACAACGTTTCCATTCACTAGATGATGTAGCTGTTACATAAGCATTCCTTAGCATAAATGAAGCAAAGACACGTTTGATTCATCAATAGAGGAGCTGATACAGAAAAACAGAAGCAACCATGGAAAGGTGGGTCCAAATTTAGATTGAGAGAAAGGGAGCTTAGACCTTTAAGTTAGATTTTGATTGAATTTTTGCCCTTCCCCCTCTTCCAGGCAAATTGCAGTTTTCAAGTCAGACTCATAAGATGAATCCTTCGAGAAAGCAGTATCAGTGTGCACCAGTGGGAGCTACGTGGAGGACTAAGAATAAAAATCTCCGGATCAGCCTAGTTGTTCCTAAAAGCAGTCTCGTCAACCCTGAGGCATAGGGTGTGGAACACAGGATTATGAAATTTCAAAGATCGATAAGGGAATTCACTTTTGTTTCTGGGAACTTGAGGCTTCTGAACACAAAGAACAACAAAATAGCTCAGCCTCAGTCCGAGGAATTTCTTTCCTACAATTGTCTGATTCTTTTAGAACAAGGACCAACAAATCGTGTGATCCTAAACAGGCCTGCGTTTCCACCTCTACAAAACGAGGGAAATTGATCAGACGACCTGCAAGATACCTCCTAAGTCTTAAATTTTACCATTCTGTTACTTTTCCCACTCTGAATAAGATTAGAAGGAACAGGGTCAAAATGCAACAGGAAGCAATGATTTAATTGAACAGACATTCGTTGGTCGTCTATTATTGGCTTAGGTTCTGTGCTAGCTCTAGAGTCGGGCATAGGTGGGACATGGTGTCTGCTCACAGCCCAGGAAAGAAGGTGCATGTGAAAGCAAACAACTTTAACAAAGGACTACATGCAGGAATAAGAATTCAAGTGCAAGAGTGGCGGGAGACGAGAACTGACCAAAAAGACAGGGGTTATAACATGACGGCAATGGCCCTTGAATTTTCAGCAAGGAAAACGTGTGATCAGAGTTGAGCTTAAACAAGTAACAGTCCAAGGTGTACAGAGGAAATTGTGATGAGCCAGCTAGACATGCACTTATTTATTCAGACACTTCTTGAGTACCCACTGTGTTAGATAAGGAAAAACTTCTTGCTCTGATTTTACGGATGAGACGTGGAAAATGTATTATATTTAACTTTTTTTTTAAGGAAGGGAAATGGTGTCTGCCCAGGCTCTCTAAAGGGGCAAGAATAAAGGAGTCTTCCAGTTTTTTTTCCTGCCCAATGGTTTTGTTACATCATATTCCCTTTCCTTCAGGATAATAAACCAGCTGTTTAAAGTTAAATAGACCGAATGGGATTAACTCATCCAGTTGCTTATTGAGAACCGACTATTTCCACACCAGTGAGTTAGGCACAGTGGGAGGGAAACTGGTAAGTCTGGAAGGAAAGTGGGAGGTGCAAGTGTGTCTGGGGGATGGTGAATAAACTAATCTGACTGGAGTAGATGGAGGTAGAGAGAGGAGGTGTCAGACTGGAGACAGCTGACAGGTTAATTTCAGGCTAGGGAGAATAATTCTATCATACAGGCAATGGCAAAGTTTGAAAGTTGAGTTGAAAGTTTGGCTTGTTAACATCACAAAGTCCCACCTGCGGCAGCATGAGCTGGCCCTGCTTTTTCTATGCTGCGGTACAAACACCGTCAGCGTGCGATCTTGTGCCTCCTTTAGCAGGAAATCTTCTCAGAAGGCTTCTCCAAGCCTCTCACTTCACATAGACTGTTGAACTTAATTCTCCCAGGAGAGGGCAGTCTAAACCCACAGATTCTAACCTTGGCGACCACCCCTCCTAGTTCTTAAACTTAATTTCAGCCACTAATTTTTAAAGGGATGCTTTTTACCCCCTACTCAGCAGATTCACCTGTCTTTGAAAATCACCATCAGTTCTGTATCAGAGCTTGGAAAAGTTGTGGCGCAAGAAAGTTCTTGCAGGTGCCACACCTTCTTGCCCACTCAGAGGCCCCATTTGTTACCTGGACCCTGACACGGTATTCTTCCAGATGGCAAGCACTGGCTTAAATGGTTGCACCCTGGAGTGGTAACTATGTTTTCACTGGGACTTGGGGGCACCTACTTGGATGGTGAGGTCTTGTCTTCCTCATCCTGAGAGTCCTGCGTATCTAGCAAAGGAATAGTTGTGAGTTGAATGTAATTGTATTGAAGAGCCAGAAAGCACATCTCCAATGGTGGAATTTTAGGCCAGTGGGAACGGTTTAATTTCGAGAGGCTCTCCCAGGGCTTCCCAAACCAATGCCAAATGTAGCTGGCTGCTCAGAGACCCAGTCGTCCATCGTCACTGTATAGAGTCTTTGCGAGTTGACACTTTACAAGGTACTGGGAAGAGGCATGGTACTGAGAAGTTGGTTTGTTTTTTGTTTGTGTTTTTTTTAAAGATTGGCACCTGAGCTAACAACCATTGTGATTTTTTTTAATCTGCTTTTTCTCCCCAAATCCCCCAGTACATATTTTAGTTGTGGGTCCTTCTAGTTGTGGCATGTGGGACGCCGCCTCAGCGTGGCCTGACGAGTGGTGCCATGTCTGCGCCCAGGATCCGAACCAGCGAAACCCTGGGCCGCTGAAGCAGAGCGCGTGAATTTAAGCACTCGGCCCCGGGGGCCGGCCCCACCTTTTTCAATTTTAGCTTGAATTTTTTCTTTTACAGATTAGCCCGAGTCCTGAGAGAACACAGCACAGGTAAACAGACTCGATCTCCTTCTCCTCCCACTCATTTCAACCAGTCGCTCCCTGACTGGTAACCTCATTCTTGCTCTTACCATTGAAATCCGAAATTCTCAAGCCCTCCGTTGTCTAGCCTGGTCACTCTCTCTCTTCCTGTAAACTAAACTCAGGTCTTCCTCCACTCACTCATTCACCAAATATTTACTGAGTGCCAGCTTTGGATCAGGCAATGAATTAGGCCCAGAAATTCAAAGATAAACCCAACAGAGATTTCCTTGTCCTTACAGAACTTACCTCTAGTGCTGGGGTTCAGGGCAAGCTCCCCCAAGACGCACCACTTCAGTATGCTGATTATTTCGAGCTGAAGACAATAAATGCTCAGAAGACTCAGGAAGAACATTTGACCTTCTCCTAAGCTGCCTAAAAGAATTTAACATAGGGGCTGGCCCCGTGGCTGAGTGGTTAAGTTTGTGGGCTCCGCTTCAGGCAGCCCAGTGTTTCATTGTTTTGAATCCCGGGCGCGGACGTGGCATTGCTCATTGAACCACGCTGAGGTGGCATCCCACATGCCACAACTAGAAGGACCCACAACGAGAATATACAACTATGTACCGGGGGGCTGTGTACCGGGGGGCTGTGGGGAGAAAAAGGAAAAAAAGTAAAATCTTTAAAAAGAAAAAAGAATTTAATATAGAAGGCCTGTTCCAGGAAGGAGCTGACATCATAAGCTAGCTATCATATAACGTAAGATAAGTGTGATAGAAAGGCACCAAGCAGCCCATTTTGGGCCCAGCGAAACTTGTTTAACAAACATTTGCATTTCCAACTCCATGTGAGCTGCCTTCCTCCCCTCTGAAATCCCAAACCACTACCCTCTACATCCCCCTTTGCCTTTAGCTGAAGATGATACTTACGGTAGCAGCTTTGGCCAGATGGCCAAGTTGCTCAGTCTTCCTGGGTTTCTCACAGGTATACGTGTTATTAAACTTTGTCTGATTTTCTCCTGCTAACCTGCCTTTTTAATTATCTGACCAGCCGTGAGCACCTCAGGGAGACGCGGGGAGGAATTCTCCCTCTTTCCCTATACTGGTTACCCTCCTCTTCCGTCCCCTCCCCAATTCTGAAAAAAGCAAACCAGCCTTACAACACAGTGAGGAGTGTTACAACTGAGGCAGCTGTCAGGTGTGTCTAGACGTGCTAAGGAGAAGCTCTGGGGGAGCCTCCTGGAAGACTAGTTGTGGGGTGTACTAGTTTGCTATTGCTGCTGTAACAAATTTCCACAAGCTCACTGTCTTACGGTTCTGTAGGTCAGAAGCCCAGCATCGGTCCCACGGGCTAAAATCGAGGTGTCAGTAGGGCTGTGTTCCTTTCTGGAGGTTCGAGGGCAGACCTGCCTCCTTTTCTGGTTTCTAGAAGCGATTCACATTCCTTGCCTCTGGGCCTCCATCCTCCAGCTTTAAAGCCAGCGATGTTGTATCCCTCTTGCCATTCTTCCACCATCACCTCTCCCTCCGGCTTCAGCTCGGAAGCGTGTTCTGCCTTTAAGGACCCATATGATTAGATTTGGCTCACTTGGATAATCCAGGATCATCTCCCCATCTCAAGGGCCTTAACTTAATTATATATCCACAATACTTTTGCCACAACAAGACAACATATTCACAGGTTCCAGGGGTTGGGAAGCAGACATTTCCTCCCTTGGGAAGCCATCGTTCTGTGTACCACATAGAAAGGCAGCCACGGGGCTGGCGCCGTGGCCAAGTGGTTAAGTTTGCACGCTCCGCTGCAGGCGGCCCAGTGTTTCATTGGTTCGAATCCTGGGCGTGGACATGGCACTGATCATCAAACCACGCTGAGGCAGCGTCCCACATGCCACAACTAGAAGGACCCACAACGAAGAACATACAACTATGTATGGGGGGGGCTTTGGGAAGAAAAAGGAAAAAACAAAATCTTAAAAAAAAAAAAAAAAAGGCAGCCACATAAAGGGAAGGGCATAGAGGTGGGAGCTGGGGGCAGGAGGCCCTTTGCAGGCAGTGGGGAAAGCTTATAGAAAGGCCCCCAGGGGGGAAGGAGCGTGTATTCTAGGAATCGCAGGGAGTCCAGCAAGACCAAAGCATGGAGTTTTCATTGGAATGTGGAGGGAGTTACTCATTTGACCCACATTTATTGAATGCCTACTCCATGGCAGGCGCTCTTCTGAGGACACAAGGATAGCAAGACAAGGTCCCTGTCCTCTGAGGCTAGAGTAGAAAGCAAGGGCCAGACTGAGAGAGGTCTTGTATACTTTCTTAATGAGTTTGAACTTTAAGAGCTGTATGGAGCCAACCATTCATTCATTTGACAAAATTTTATTGAGCACATGCCGTGTGCCAGGCACTGTTGTAGGCTCTGGGAATACAGAAGTTTAAAAACCAAAATAATGGGGCTGGCCAGGTGGCACAGTGGTTAAGTTCCCACATTCTGCTTCTTGGCAGCCCAGGGTTCGCTGGTTCAGATCCCAAGTGCAGACATGGCACTGCTTGGCAAAAGCCATGATGTGGTAGGCGTCTCACATATAAAATAGAGAAAGATGGGCATGGATGTTAGCTCAGCACCAGTCTTCCCCAGCAAAAAGAGGAAGCTTGGCAGTCGTTAGCTCAGGGCTAATATTCCTCAAAAATAAAAGCCAAAGTAAAAAATCCCTGCTCTCAAGCCCAGTGGCATAGTGGTTAAGTTCGTGTGCTCTGCTTCAGTGGCCTGGGGTTCACCAGTTTGGATCCTGGGCACGGACCTACACACTGCTCATCAAGCCATGCTGTGGAGGCATCCCACATACAAAATAGAGGAAGATTGTCATGGATGTTAGCTCAGGGCCACTCTTCCTTAAACAAAAAAAAAAAGAGGAAGACTGACAACAGGTGTTGGCTCAGAGCCAATCTTCCTCACCAAAAAACAAACAAAAAAATCCCTCTTCTCATGGAGTTTACATGCTGGCCAATTTTAAGCAAGGGAAGCAGATGTTTGCTTTGGAAAGAACACTCTGGCCAGGGTGTTGGAGTGAAGACTGAGGGGAGCAAGGGGACAGGTAGCCCGGTGCCTTGGGTCTGCTATCTTCCAGATTCACAGCCTTGCTGAGGCTTCACAGCCCTCCTTGGGCACCATCTCTTTAGTCAGGAGCCCTCTTCCCCTTTATCCTTCAACTGTACCCGTCCTGCACCCCCAACCTGATTAACCTTCTATACCTGGGCTTCCATTGTTGCCCCTACATGTGAGAACATCCGATCCCAGCTGGATCCTCAACTCTGCTACATTTCCATTTCTCTAAGAAGCCACCACTCTCATTTCTTCCAGTGGATACTTTAAGCTTAACCATTTTCTGTAAGTCCTCAACCCCATCTTGACCCCTTCTCTCTCAAGAGATTGCTTAGAGACTGTCAGGTACCAACCAGTTCTCTCAACTTCTAACCTCTAGGTTACCAATCTATAAAAGCATCTGCTTGCGTGCCCTTCCTCTCAAAGACATCCCAGCCAACCCCAGCCCCATATGCCTGGATCCACCTCTCGGGGACATTTTCATTAACCCTCTCTCTCTCCTTGGTCTTCCCCCTCAGCATATGAGCATGTTTAAGCCTTGCCGTCTGAAAAAGAAAAAATCTAACAACAATCTTCCCCTTGATCCTGCCTTCCCCCAATCTACTGCCTTATATTTCTCTTTCCCATTAATTGCCAAGCTTCTAGAAAGAGAGGTCTACAGTCATGTGTCTCTTTTACTCCTTAGCCCACTAGAGCCTAGTTTACCCATGACTGTTCTCACACCATGGATACCGGAGACTTTCTCTTTTTTTTTGAGGAAGATTAGCCCTGAGCTAACATCTGCTGCCAATCCTCCTCTTTTTGCTGAGGAAGACTGGCCCTGAGCTAACATCCGTGCCCGTCTTCCTCTACTTTACATGTGGGATGCCTGCCACAGCATGGCTTGATAAGTGGGGCCATGTCCGCATCCGGGATCCAAACTGGTGAGCGCCAGGCCACCAAAGCAGAATGTGCACACTTAACTGCTGCCCCACCAGGCCAGCCCCCCAGGGACTTTCTTGTCAATCCAAAGGACACGTTCAGCCCTGCCCTCCTGGATGTCCGTGCTACACTTGTGTTAGCCCAACACCCTTTCCCAACACTCTCTCCCACCCTCCTTTCGGACACTCTATGGTTTCAGTTTTTCTATCAGTTTGGTTGTTTCCTCTGGATTTCTTTGGTAGGCCTCTTCTTTCCTCTATACGCCCATACATGCACATAACTTCATTGACCATCTATAACCTGAAGGGTCTAAAATTGATGTCATTCGTCCACACCTCTACTTTGCGTTTAGTTTCATAAATCCACTGTCTACTAAACATCCCCACCACAGCCACTTCAAACCCAACATGTCCAAAATGAAGCTCATGGTTGCTCCCCAAACACCTGAGGCCTGTTTTACTTACTATTGTCCCTCGATTATGAATGGCACCACCTGCCACTGATTCTGAAGGCATCAAGTGGGCAGTAATTCTAGATCCCTCTCCCTTCCCAATTCTTTGCATTCAATACATTAGCAAACATTATCCATCTGACTCCCGAACCACCTCTCGGATCTGTCCTTTCCTTTTCACGCCCACTGCCCAGCCCTGGCCCAGTGTGGAGAGCCCCTATCTTGCACTCCGGATGTCGCCTTGGCCTCCTTGTTGAGCTCCCAGCTTGTACTCCTAGGCTGTATTAGCTCCCGGCAGGAAGCAAATGGCGCACTCCAATTAGAGGATTAATTTGAGAAAAGTTTAAAAAAATAAAGTGACAATTTAGAAAGGGTTGGCAGGGTATAGGAAAACCAGAAGGAATGGTGTGCAATACACTGGGGCCAGTAGGAAAGTGAGTTTCCACCCCCAAGGACTGAAAAGTCAAAGGAAGAGAGTGGTTATCTGAATTAAAAGAGAAGGAGAGGGGCCAGCCTGGTGGCACAGTTGTTAAGTTCTCACGTTCTGCTTCGGCGGCCAAGGGTACACCAGTTCGGATCCCGGGTCCGGACATGGCTCCACTTATCAAGCCATGCTGTGGCAGGCGTCCCACATGTAAAGTAGAGAAGGATGGGTGGCAGATGTTAGCTCAGGGCTAATCTTCCCCCCTGCCAAAAAAAAAAAAAAGGAGGAGAGAGAGAGGGATAGGGAACCAGCTGGAGGGAGCTGTCATCTCTGGTTGAGGGTGGCAGCCAGCCCACAGTGACCCCAAAGAGAGGGATCCTGAGGAATAATATCCAGACCTCCTTCCTCCCAATTTCCTGCCATGGCTCCCCATTGGCCAACCCCTACTAGGAAGCCAGAGGGCGGAAAGTGGATCTGGAGGGGCAAGTGGAAGCTGTGCAGTGATCTTCAAACCCTTCTATGTAATATGCCAGAAAGTGTTTTCTGATCACATCACTCCCAGCTCCTCTTGTCTACCCCCGGGGGCTTACTCTCACCAACAGGACAAAATTTAAACTTTTTTGGCATGCCCTGGTTTCTCTTATAACACAAATTTTTCTCCCTACCAAGATGCACTTTAAAGCCTTTGACATGATCCTCAATCCAGGGACCCAGGCCTGCTCCTGTGAGCTCTGCAGGCCAGGCCTGTCACTCCAGCAAGACTGAACAACTACGGCCCTGTGCTCTCCTGTTCTCTCAGGCTTCTGAGTTCAGCCTGATGACAGGCACAGAGTAAGCTGTCGTACACATTTGTATCGTGAACAAGGTGGTGAATGAGTGAGTGAAGGATGCACGCTTTCACCCGCTGTGGCTCTGGAGGGTCAGGAATAGGACCATCTATACATTATGATATATGATGTACATTACGATATATGAGCGAGTTGTCCACAGTTATCAAAATGATTCACTTATATTCTCTCATTTGATTCTCACACAGCCCTGAGTGGTAAGTGAAGCTGATGTTATTACAGATGCTGAGAGGGTGAAGTGGACTACCCAAGGTCACATTGCCAGGGCAGAAAGAAGAAACAAACCTCTGTCTTCCCTCTCACTGCGTCTCCTCTCACTGTCTTACCAGGGTTGCCTGCAGTTAAGGGTCCCTTGTATTTATCCAGATTTCATTTAATATGAGAACAAAAGTATATCCCGAGAAATCTTACTGAACTGTGAACTCGCTTTTTCTATTGCTTTCTCCCCTATGTAGCACTTCCTCTGGTTATCCAAGTTGCCTTCCCAATAATAAATAGTAATCATCTTACTGAGCGTCTTTTCCAGTTCCACAGTTCTATGAATCTAAGAACTCTGTTCTGGGTTGTTGCAGAGTTTCATAGCAATGAAGAAATTTTAAAAAGGCCTTTATCATTTAAAAAGGCCTTTCTGACACTTGTCTTTTTTTTTTTTTTAACTCTAGTAAACCCAAAACAGACTGGAATAGTGGCATTTTAACAAAGATTTCCTCGACACCAGGAAAGGAGAAGGTTGGCAGATGTTTCCACGGGAGCCCTGGCTGGGGGTCCTGAGCCTCTGAGGGCAGCTGGGAGTCTCGAGACCCTGGACCTGAAGGGGACTGCGGAGAAGGGGGGCTGAGAACCAGGTGCTGATCTTCAGTCGGTCAGGAAAAACAGACGGAGGGCCCCGGGGGAGGACAAGGTTCACGTACTCTGAGATCAGAGATCATGGCTATCACGTAAACCAAATGCAAATGAGGAGCTGGGCAACTCTGGGTTTCTTTTGGGTGGAGCTTGCAGGAAAAATTCTCCTGGAGAACACTGCTCAAAGAAAGGTACTTAGAGTCAAAATTTTAAATATATTGTATGAAAGAGGAGTTTTTTTCCTTGCCTTACGTGGGTTGGAAGACCCTCTACCTCCCCTTCCCCTCAGGTTGTCGATTGCTATTCTCTGGGGCTCAGGTCGGACGAAAAAAGGAGGCTGAGCACGCCAAGACAGCCCCCCACCCCCCACCTCCGCCCTCAAGGAAGGGGCTCTTTCCGGCACCGTAATAGCGAAGGGGGAAATTCCTCAGACTGATAACTGGACCTCAAAACTGTCATTTCCAGCCGGATGACTTAGCATTCATCTGACAGAGCAGGCAAAAGTAACGACCATCTGCAAAACCCCTCACCCAAGTGGGAAGTGGAAACCCTGGCTCTTGGGTTCCAAAGCACAACTTGCCGCCCGCGCGTTGCTCTTCCCCCGTGCCCTGGCGGGAGGGCCGGGAGCGAGGGAGGCGAAGGAGGGGAGAGGGGAGGGAAGACAGGGAGGGAGGGAAGTGGGGAGGGCAGGGAGGGAGGGGAGTGGGGAGGGCAGGGGGCCGGGCGGCCAGGGCTCCCGCGCCCGCCCCGCCCCGCCCTCCGCGCGCGGCCGAGTCGGCGTGCGGCTGCGGCGGCCGGCGCCGCCTGTCCGGGCGGGTCTGCGGGCGGCGGCGGCGCCGTGCAGTGCGCCGGGTCTCCGGGAGATGGCTTCTCCGCGCTCGCCCGCGGCTCCCGCTATTGTCTCGCCCGGGGTTGCCTGACTGCGGGCTCGCGCACGCTCCCGGCCGCGAGGACTTTCCCCTCCGAGCAGGTCCTTGCGCCCTGCCTGCGCCCCGCGGCCCCGGGATCCCGGGCCGGCGCTCGCCGCGTGGAGCCGGAGAGGGAGCGGCGCCGGAGGAGGCGTGCGCGGCTGCTCGCCCGGGTGGCGGTGCCGCCTGGAGCCGCGGAGCGAGCAGCCCTCGTCGCCGAGCACGCGACACGTCGGGTCCAGCAGGGAAGCCCGCGGGGAGCACAGGTAGGACGCGCGCCCAGCCGAGGGCGGCCGCCCGGGGTCTGCAAATTGCCCTCCGAGGGGAGGGGCACTGGGCCGGGGCTGTCCCTCCAACATGGCAACAGCCGAGGTGCGACAATGGAAGGAGCCGAGGGTCCCTGGCGGGCCGAGCCGCGCACGCCGTGGATGGGGAGCTTCGGCCCGCAGCGCCGAGTAGGCTGCCCATCCCCACTGCCGCCCCGCTTGAGCAGTCTCGGGCCCCCGGCACCCGTTTCCCACCCCTTTTCCTCTAAACACACTTCCTGGCTCCCAGCTGCAAGGCGATCTGAACCAACCAATGGTTTGAGGGTTGGTTTGTTTGTTTAAGATGAGAAATAAGAAGCAAAACCTGCCCTGGAGTGGAGGTGTGGGGGTGGTGCTTTCTCTTGCAGTGGGGGAAAAGTCAGCGACTAGCCTGGGAAATATATACGCTTTGTAGCCGGACGGATGGTAGACTTGGCTTCTCCCTTATAAGGACACTGCAGCAGAAGGAGAAGGCTTGGGAGAGGGACCCTCAGGCCAGGGCTCTCAGGGGACGCGCCGCTCTCCTTGCCTCTACTTGTCTCTCATTTTCAGCTCCCGACAGCGGTGGCTTTGATGTTGGGGAGCAATCGCAGCAGCAGGAAGCCCCGGGGAGGCTGCCAAGCTGGGGTGGAGTGGGGTAGGGCGAGGAGCCCAGGGGCTTGGCAGGCTCCTGGACTGTGCGAAGAGGTTACCAAATGTATGAGGTTAGTTAGTGCACACACCCTAGTTAGCTGAGGTGTCTGTGTGTGTACGTATGCGTGTGAAGAATCAGCTCTGGCTCCTTCAGGCCAACCTTCTCTCCCTCCGTCTCCCCCCCCTTTTGGGGTCTTTGTGGCTTCCATGCTCCAGTCCCACCAGCCAGGCCTGCGATGGAATCTATTGTCTCCGGCTGCCCTGATGTCTTTTCTCAGTTCTCTTGGAGAATTTTGTGCCCTGGGCTGGCTGGTCCCAGCATGGGACCAGATTCTTCAGGACACAGCTACCAGGCTCCCAGAAGCAGGGCAACACAGCTCCTCCTCCTCTGTCTGAGCTGAACTACCTGACTGTGGGACGTGGCCAAGCAGATGTAAGCAGTTTGCGCTGAATTCCAACCCTGTATCAGTCGCAGCGTGAGCGCTCACTCCATTGCTGCGCTGGGCCTTGGAAAGGTATTGGAGGAGAAATGTCCCAGGGCTGGCAGACCTGACCCCTGGTGCTCCTCCTTCCCCTACTCCAGCTGTGGATCCAGAGCAGAGAGGCACTGAGGCTTCGGGATTGCAGCTCCTCCAGAGCCTGGCGGGCCCATCTGGGATTGTGTCCATGGAAAAATTAAGTCGAGGCACATTTTATAGCTCTGCCTGGCAGCCAGCGTCTGAGGAGATGGTGGCTCTGAGCCGGAGCCCTGGACTGAGGCTGTGGCTGCTTCTCCTTTGGCCTTTGGGTGAGCCCAAGGTCTGATTTCCATGGCTCTGAATTTACTGCTGAGTGTGCACAGCGTGTGTGTCTAAATCTAATCAAGCTCTCCGCCCTGGCCGGAAGGGAGCGTGTCCATTTCCCTCTCCCAGCAGTGTGGGGGGCCAGGCAGGCTCAGTTTATCCAGGGCCTCTGGCTTTTCCCTGGGGTGCACCTCCGGGACTCCCCTGCAGCCTGGCGTGCCTGTGGTCTCTGCTGTGGCCCAGTGGCGCTGGGGCAGAAACTCCACGGTTCCCTCTCTGGGGTGCCCTCACCCCATCTGGGCCTGGCACTTTGCATGCAGGCATCTCTTGTCTGTGGTCCTTCAGCCTGGACACTGCTGCTGGGGCCAGCAGGGAGAAAAATGGGGATCTCTGTTCCCTTTGGGGTTTGTAACTTGCCCTAAACTTCAGGCTCCCTGTACTCCCAGGACGTGAACTGAGACATGGTGATGTGGTGTAGTAGAGAAAACAGGGTGCTTCAGTGTCCAGAGGCCTGGCTTTAGTCCTCATGTGACTTTCTTCCTAGCTGTGTGCACCTGTCTGAGACTTAGTTTGCATATCTGTAAACTGGGGAAAAAAATAATACCCTTGGCTCACAGGATTGTTTTAAGAATGAAATACCCTGCTTACTGTGAACTGAATAAAATCATGTATGCAAAAGTACTCTGAAAACTGCAGAGTACTGTACAAATGTTGGTTATTCATCCTGAGTTTAGCCTCTGGTGATAAGGGAGGGAGAGCTGGCAGGCATGAGGGAGGGTGGGAGGAAAGGGATATGGAATAGAGAATGTTCCAGAACCTTTCCTTTGTGGTGAAGGGAAGAGTGATGTGACAATACCAAGGTAACTATTCCTTGGGTATTTCTTTTTTAAAAGGGTTGAAAGGATGGGAAATGGGAGAGAAGAAAAGGCTGCTTAGTGGTATTTGTAGAGAATTGAGGAGGCAACCCCCCCCCCCCCCCCCCCCCCCCGCCCCCCCCCCAGGCTGGCTCTTGTCTGTAGACAGGGTAGTGCTGCGCTGGCTAATAATACAATGGCCAGCACTTACTGATGTCAGCCAGCGGGGAAATGACAGAGGAGGGGGTTGAAGTGGCGGTCTCCCTCCAGATCCTATGCTCACAGCCTTGATGCCACTGTCAGGGAGTTAGTGGGTCTTGGGAGAACAGAAAGGGACAGCAGAGTTGCACAATTCATTCATACTGGATTCCTTGACTTGAATGCCCATGCTATGTCACCAGACTGGGACATCCTTAGATAATAAACTTATTAAGGACAGGGGCCCCGGAGGACACATTTCCTCCAGCCAGCCCAGTGCAGCAGCACCTCCTTAATTCCCAGTCCTGTGAGGTCACGTGTGTGAATTCCTTGGGCTCCTGCCTCACTGATCTTTCTCTGCTTTCTCATTCAGTCCCTACCTTCAGGGTAAGGAGAAGACTGGGAATAATCAAATTAAGTAATTTTGCCACCTTCTGGGCAACTCTAATAAGAGGTTTGGGACTTGGGGGATCCTGGGAAAATTGAGGCAAATCTTTTGTTTTGGTATTTCCATATCTGCTTTATTTTGTGTCTGTTTTATAAAGTGAAAAGAGACTATTCTTGCATTTCCTGTGATCACGTAAAGCGTTAGAACTGGGAAGGACCTTGGCAATCATTTCCCTGAGAAGAAATGACTCCCAAGGAGTCATTTGTATTTGTCACATATTGCTTGGTGACTAGCAGTGCTGGAACTTTACACTGGGCTGTGACAGATGAAAGGACCTATGGTTCGCACTTTAGAATCAGTGTGGACCCCATCAGGGGCTTCATTTTTAGGCAGTTCTCTTCTCTCAGAACACTGATGATGGAATTCACTCACCACTAATCTCCTTGCTGGTTAGAAAGATTAAGGATACAAAAGACAGAGGCCCTCAAGGTATGGAGAAGGACCAGGAGAGAGGTTCTCAGTGGTCCTGAGGCAGAATGTAGAGCCTCTGGCTGAAGGGATCCTCAGCAGTTACCCTCCCCTAGCACTTCCTGTAGAGAGTCTCCCTCAGCAGAGGCTCCCTGGTATTTCAAAGAAAAGCCAAAGATCATTTGCCTCTTTAGAAACTGGTTTCCCTTCCACCTTAACTTCCTCACTCCTGCCTCTTTCCTTCTTGAAAACGTTGTTCAGCTCCCTGCTTCCTGGGCCGTGCTCTCTTGGCCGCAGCCACTCATCGTGGGACTAATCTCCTGGCAGAGGTTTCTTTTCTTCTCGGCAGTTCTTCCTACTACGCTTTGTACCTCCTACGTCTCTGCCTCCGTCGGTCCTGTCCTGGATGTTAGATCTGCCCCGTGTCCTCACGCTGTATCCTCCCCACAGTGGAGGTGGGTGCCAGGCAGGAGAACTACTCCACACATGTGGTTCCCGGGCCCACCAGGAATAAGCTTGCCTGGAGGCATCCTCTCCAGCTAAGTCCTGTCTTTCTATCTTAATCTAGTTGGTACCCTTGGCCGCAAACCAGAACGCATAAGGGTGAGGGAAAAATAGAGAACTAAGGAAATTCCATTTTGAGGAAATGCCTTTTGCCTTGCTAGGTAGGAGAAATAGATGTGAGAGCTCTTCTTGTCTCAGGTCTCAGACTAGCCACAACCCTTCCTCTACTGAGGCGTCTCAGGGCCCTGCTTTCTGAAGCAGAGTGTCAGTCACGTCCCTGACCTAACGTACTGTTGCTGTTGCGTCTTCCAAGGGGTAAAGGAGGTTAAAGTGCCCAGGGGCACCAGTAGAGGGCATTTAATTCTGACTGAGAAAGGAGAGATTGTTTGCAAATTGGATATTATGGGAAGCTAGGAGAAAGCAAATATATTTTCCCAAAAACGTTATAGCTGAGGATGTCAGATTTCCACTCGAGACTTCAGGAAGGCAGGTTTCCCTTTTTTTAACTAAGAGAAGAGGTAGAGACAGCTTCCTGACACGAGACTTGGGCCGGCAGATTCTCTGAAGTGCACTCTGACTCTGCTGCTGCAGGTGATCCCAACAAGGGAGGCAAAGAGGAGCAAAAGTTTGAGGCAAGGGCACGTGGTGAAGGATGGCCCTGGCGCTGAGCGTCTGTCCGCTAGTAGCTTTTCAGACATTGTTGTAATTTCCCCTCCCCCCAACTCTGAAGGACGCAGATGCTGATGGAATTGTCTCTTTCCTTTTTACATTTGGGAGAGCTGAGGTTTAGATTCAAACTGAGATTAAGAAACATGCCTAAGATTGTACAACTAATTAGAGAAAAGCCAAAGCCTGCATCTGGAAGGATACTTCCAGAACTGATGCTCCTGCTGTCCTGTGCTGAGAAAAGATGTCAGCGAGGCCCACCTGAGTTCTGAATGAGGTGGGGCTTCCCCAAGAGCCAGATGACAATAGAGAGGGTTCTTCTTCAAGTCATCTGTGGAAAAAGATATGATCTCAAAGGGATATAAGTCTGTCAGATAATGTTTGAAAACAACTCACTCATTCATTCGTTCACTCACTCATTCAGCAGATGTTTTGACTGCTTTCTCATGACTTTAGGTACCTTCACTG